TAAAACCCCGCCCTTTATTCAATATTCCATTTCACTTGAAAATACATCACAACACTGAAGTCAGTTGCAACTGCCGGTTCACGGGTACTTTGATATTGATATTTTTCAAGGTATTGAAGTTAGAAATTCCTGTATCATGACCACTAATTCATGTACTTTGTCAATAAGATAAAAGTGGGTTTTGTTCAAAGTTGCTATTATCCACATAGATCTCTGATATGAATTAATATTTTTTGGTAATTCATTAAATATCACCGACTAAAAAGTAACTAGTATTCTGAGTAGTTTTTGAGAGGAGTACTTTGTACTTTTACTTAAGTACTGTTTTGACACCAGTACTTTTACTTGTAATTGAGTATTATTTCAGCAATGTAACAGTACTTGTACTTAAGTACAAATTTTCAGTACTCTTTCCACCACTGCTTCTGACATGTTGCCGGTACTCTGAGTAAAAGCTTCAGTGTCTGGGTAATTAGAAATGACACTATATAATCACACTACCCAGGCGGGATCACCTCTCATCTCGACCAATCACGTGAGCGAATTCAAGCGGAATAGGTCTACCTCATGTGTGGGGTGCCAGAGCATGTCAGAGGAGGCGTCTAGAGTAGTATAAATAATCAATTAATTAAAAAATAACTAATTATTGATTACTAATTTGAATCAGTACTTTATAATGAAAATAATACCTTAAAATTGAAGAGAAGCCTTTTGCGATCACATCATTTTAAACCGGTAAACTCCTGGAAAGTCCAAGGCAAGCTAGGATCCAGTAAATGAATTCAGACAGTAAGTTCAAAACAGCACTAATGCAGAGAAAACATGGCTGATTTCATCAGAGATTGCGGAGAGAATAGTGACTTACGTCCAGATGTCATTAAATTATTCTGTTCAGCGTGTATTTGGCTTAAAAGCACGAGTGTTTTATTATAGATGCTGGCTGAAGGTGCTCAGAGGTTTAGCGATTCTGAATGGATCCATATAGTTGGTTTAGTGGTCTTTGGCGTCTCCCTGTGGTCCTGTTTGGTGTTGCAGATTGACTTGTGCTAATTTGTATTGAAAACTTTTATTTAATTATTGATTGATTGATTGTGGCACTATACATACATTGTGAATTATTAAAAAGTACTTATTTATTAAATATAAATAAATCAATGGGTGGGTGGGGGGTGGTACCGGCACTTGTTTTTTTCCAATTCAAGCACTGGAAACAAGGTCAATTTAGCTCAAAGGGAATCATTTAAGATTTTATAGGGAATTTGGACAGAATCACTGTTTTACGGCTGATCACTGAGTCGGCGAGCGATTCTTAGAACGAGCCGTAGCCTACAACATCAACTCAGTTGGATATTAAAATCCAAAATATAGTGAAAACACTATTAATTAGCACAGTAACAAGATCGGCAGTTTAAGACATTAACTTGTAAGCACAAAACACAAGATACTTCTCTTTTCAATATCAATAAGGGTTTATTGGATAAATCTAAGACATATAAACTAGTCTAACACATAAACACACGCACTCACACATTCATACAAGTTGCAGGAAGAGAGAAAGTGAGGAAAGAATGAGTTTAAGAGAGTAAAAATGTGAATTCCCAAGTTTACAGCAATATGTGCAGTTGCATAGACCTGAACAACCATCAATCACTTAATTAACCCTCGCATTGAGTTTAAAATGAGGTTAAAATTTATATTAAATGCACCAGTTCAGCTCAGCTAGAATCTGGAGATTTTACTTGAGTTGCCTTTGTGTTAAGGGATTCCCTCTGTTGTAAAGTTAATGAGATAATTAAGTGACTAATTAAATGATGATTGTGCATTAGTGATGAACACCTGCTGTTATTGAGAATT